TTTCCAGAGGGCGGGGTTTATCAGGGTTTGTGATGTCACGAACCCAGGAAGTAACTTGTTGTAGTCCCTACCAGCCATTTTTGTAGGCGTTAAACTGCCAGAATTTTAAAAGACGATATCTCCGTTTGCATTGAACTTTCAGCTTTGTAACTTTGCAGATATTGTTTATGCTCAAACACCAACATTGCACACTAACTAACATTAAAAAAGTGAAATCGCAGTGAACCACCCCTTTAAGCTAAATATAATTTCTTATTTCTTTATTTGATTTTAGAGTCAAAAGACCTGGCAATGTTCTGGACAGGTTTAGTGAGATTCACTTTTATAAGATTTAATAGAGAGGTTTTATAGATGTTCTTGGCACTAAAACTGACCGAATGCTCTGTCTTTTCCTGTCAGTGGAAGAGAACTCTTCCGAACATCCAACGATTCGCTCCGATTACTGGTGGCCAAAACTGAATCCAGGAGCTTGATCACCAGATGCTGAGAAACAAAACAGACTCGTCTGGATGATTGACGGTATCTTTGGACTGATCGTTCCTCACTGATCCATTCAGTCAAATCTCAGGCACTGGAACTCAGATTTATTCCTGAAACCAAAGGAAGGCAATTAAAATGGATTCATTAATGTTGCTGTTTGTGTTGTTGTTGTTGTTGCTTCTGCTGGCTTTGTCTCTTTGTTGGTGGATTTGTCAAAGTCTCAAATGGGCAGAATAATATGTTGATTTCTTCTTTTTATAGTAGCGTTTATTTAACACTTTTCTTTGTTTATTTTATGTAACATAGTTTGCCAGATGTTTTCTGGTGTTTATTTTTGTTTAGAATCTGTCTGTCTGTCATTTTCTGGTTTCCTGAGAAATAGTTGTGGTCCAGACAGGGTGATTTCAGTTTCCCTAAAGCTCAAACTGGAAGAGAAAGAGAGTCACACAAATCCATTCTCTGTTCATAACATCCAAATACTGCTGGAAATATCAGTCAGAACTACATTAGTTTTTAGTCCGTTTTTAATATGTAGCCAAAGTATCACTATTAAAGTGGTTCATGTTGCTGATGTTATGAAACTATGTACCATTTTCACATTGATGCCATTTCATGTTATTATTACTTGTGAGGTTCCTGATGTCATAAATGATGTTCTTACTCAGTTCCTGAGAAACAGTGTTATATTGTGTCATCAGTGTTCATGATGGCATTAAAAAAGCATTTGTTTGTATTATTTATATTGCTAACTGTTAATGTACAAGTGTGATATTTTATTTCTTTTTAGGGAAAAGAGATAAACTGTTTTTGTTTGTTGTTTATTTTATTTGACTTTCAATTTGTTTAATTTAAATTTAATTCCATTCATTTTATTAACATATATATATATATATATATATAGTATGCATATAAACTCCATCAGAATATCCCATAATCCTTATGGACAAGATGATCATGCAGTATTACATGCACAGTTAGGTGGTTGTCATTTTAATTGCTTATAGGTATTAGAAATTTCAAATAAATCTGAAAAAGATCATTTTGTTAATGTTTAGTAGCATGCATATAAATGGCCTTAATACTACCAGACATGAATTGCAGTCTGAAATTCAGAGGGTCTTTAACTGGTTGAACTGCTCTGCTGGACTGTTAGTCTGCAGAGGTTTACAAATGAAATCTAAATGAAGCAGCACACACTTCAGTGTAAATGAGGAGCTCAGCTGCTTTTTGAGCTGCAGCAGAACATGGCAGAGCTCAAGGGTGAGTCTGGATGAAAATGCTGCTCACCGCAAAACTCAATGCCATTTATATAGAGCATTTATTGAGTGAAGTTTCCACTGCAGCAGCGACACACACATACACACCATATACTGGAGCTCATGCTGAGACACTGGGTTTGAATATGCCGTTTAGACACGTTCACCTCTTTACACAAAGTTCAAAGAGATTTTAATGAATTCTGCAAAGCTGCTGAACAGAATTAGTTTGAATATTAATGTTAAATAGTAACTATATATTTTTAATACGTTTATGACTCTAAATTCATTCTGCATTATGTAAATCTTTGTCATCTTGATTTTCTCTCAGACTCCAGCGCTGTTTTATTTACACAGACATTGGGTTTGTGGCCGTCACTTCATGTCTGATCCAATAAGACCTCAGGCATTACATCCGCTATGTTCAGAAGAGCAGACTGACATACTATGCTTAATATAGGATGTGAACTCGTAACAGTGTTCAGATTTTCTGTATGATCTGTATGGAATATTCACATGAGCTACTTTTGCCAGAATGTTGCTGCTGAAAAAAAAAAAAAAACAGCTAAATCCAGCCTAAGCTGGTTGGCTGGTTTTAGCTGGTTTAAGCTGGTCTCCCAGCCTGGCTAGGCTGGTCAAGCTGGTTTTAGCTGGTTGTTCCAGCTGGTCTCCCAGCCTGACCAGCTAAAGAAGTGGCCAAAACCCCTCTAAAAAACCAGCCTGCTGACCAGCTATGACCAGCTAAGGCAAGGCTGGATGACCAGCTAAAACCAGCCAACCAGCTTAGGCTGGTTTTAGCAGTTTTTTCAGCTGAATATTGTATCCCAAAATACAATGTGCTTGACTCGATTTGTCATTTCAAACAGGGCGTAAAATCATTATCATGTTCTGACTGAATAATTGCCAATTTTTCCTTTCTCTTTGGAGTGTTACAAGCTCTTGGTGCATAAAGAAGATCTGTAAAGTTGCAAAGACTAAAGTCTCAAATCCAAAGAGATATTCTTTATAAAAATTGACGCGTTTCAGAAAGGCGGGGCATAGAGGAGAAACAATAATGTACAGTATGTGGAAAATAATGTGTTTTTTGAACCTTAAACCGCATAAACACATTTCGTTACACCAAATACACAAAATAATGTTCTTTTTAGCAGCATCATATGACCCCTTTACAAAAATCGTCTTCCACATGAAAACGCAAACGCATGCTATAAAGCACTGTGAAGAGCATGCCAAGCCAACAGGTGGCGTGTTTTGTGTGTAACATAAATGAGGAATGCTCTCAATGAGAATTAAGATCTTTCTTGAAATACATTTCTTTAATAATCATTCCTAACATACTTTGTCGACTCTTTGCTGTTGACCGAGGAAAAATACGTTTTCACAGATTCACAAAGTGAAGTGAAACTTTTTTTTTTTTTTACGAAGAGTAGATTTACCTTTGTTGAAATATTTTCAATTATGAGTAGCTTGTATTGAGATTCTGCAGTTTGCAGTGATTGTGAAATGATAAATGCATAAATGACTGTTGTTTAAACTCTACAGCATTGTCTTCTGTACAGCATTGGTAAGAAAGCCTTAAACCGCATAAACACATTTCGTTACACCAAATACACAAAATAATGTTCTTTTTAGCAGCATCATATGACCCCTTTACAAAAATCGTCTTCCACATGAAAACGCAAACGCATGCTATAAAGCACTGTGAAGAGCATGCCAAGCCAACAGGTGGCGTGTTTTGTGTGTAACATAAATGAGGAATGCTCTCAATGAGAATTAAGATCTTTCTTGAAATACATTTCTTTAATAATCATTCCTAACATACTTTGTCGACTCTTTGCTGTTGACCGAGGAAAAATACGTTTTCACAGATTCACAAAGTGAAGTGAAACTTTTTTTTTTTTTTACGAAGAGTAGATTTACCTTTGTTGAAATATTTTCAATTATGAGTAGCTTGTATTGAGATTCTGCAGTTTGCAGTGATTGTGAAATGATAAATGCATAAATGACTGTTGTTTAAACAGGTCTTACACTGTCTTCTGTACAGCATTGGTAAGAAAGCATTTGCCATGAGCATACATGAGAAATATTTAATGTAACTTCTGGTCTCTCGTCGTGGTTTCTTCTCCAATCCTCAAGAATGAATGTGCAAGTGTCTGATCTGGCTGGAGGTTTGCTCTGTTCAGTCCAGCAGAGGGAGACAAACATCATTCAGATATGAATGAATATTAGTTTATATTGTGAATGAATATCTGTTTATATAGTGAAAAATATGTTTATACTAGTGAATGAATATCTGTTTATACTAATGAACAGTGTTGGGCAAGTTACTTCCAAAATGTAATACATTATATATTACTAGTTACTTTCTTTTTAAAGTAATTAGTTACATTACAATATTGCTGTCTCTGAATTGTAATGTGTTACACTACTTTTGAGTTACTTTTGAGGTACTTTCATCAACATATCCACAGAAGTATTATAAAATGCCAATAATGTGGTAGGTCTATATAGCATAAAATTATAAAATCATATTTAGATACCGGTATGTAGGTCTACATTAATGTTACGTTGTAGTTTAGGTTAAACACACATAAGCACAAACCATTATTACATTGATAAATAACACCGGTAAATAAAGCGAAATGTTATAATGTACAAACAATAAACACAATACCTAGCCTATAGGCTATATTGAACGGTTTCAGAAGAAAACAAGAATGAAAAATAAAAGTTGCTAAACAAGCCAAAACGAATTAGGCTGGCTAATTCAGTGCGAAACTGAAAGCAAACGGCGTTCTCCCGCAGCCTACCTCTCTCATTCAGCATTAATACAATAAATGTGTCCATCATAGGCGGAGCGTGTGTTTTTGCACCGTATTTCATTTTAGGCGTTTTTAAAGTGTTGCACATTTTACCCATTCACACACAATTCTGTTGAGCTTAGGAATGCAATGGCCAATCAGAGGCGTTCAGTTGAGTCATCGTTGAAAAACTCAACAGTTTTGTTGAGTGCGCGCCGGTTCTCTGACTGAATTCCGGACTCTTGCGAATTCTCTCATCATAAACAACAAAGCGCAGATGTACGTACAATGTAAGTAAGAGATTAATTTCACAGTGTATACAGCTTCAGTGTTTAACATATTTTTGTTTTTATTTTTTTGAGAGTGCTTCAACTCGGGATAGAGTCAGCTGATGATATGGTGCACTGAGCGTTCTAATCACGCCGGTGTGATTGTATTAAATATAGAAATTATTAATCGGCTATTTTTTGTCTTTTGGAAGCTGCATTCAAAATCCACTTGGCTCAAAAATCTGAGAGGGCACGTGCGCCTATATAATACGCCTCTGCATAAGACTGCAAGGAGTCAGGTAAAGGAGGTAAGACGTAGCCTATGTAAAATCTTCCGTTAAGACGTTGTTTAATTCTGCCTTTATTTGTCTTCAATATAAGCCTGGTATCCAAGATGTGGATTTTCATCTACATATTTTCTAATGTACCAACAGGATATCCTCGCTGTCAAATTTTCTTCGACAACAAAATCCAAAGCAGCCTAGAGAAGAAAAAAAAGATGTTCAATATTGAGTTTCAGGAAACAGCAGAACATGAAGAACTGAGGAAGTTAAAGAGCGATTTTACCTTTGCCAAATGTGCTGCTGCACCTTTACCCCTGTGTGATTCAGGACCCTCTGTAGAGATCAACTCCACCTGCTGATCATGACTGAGAAGTGTATTTCAGTACTGCACTACTCACTGTTCCTGATTCAGATTACAAGGGGGAAATTATTATTATTAGCCTATTGTTGTTGTTGTTGACTAAATCACATGAAATTTGATTTGAGCCTATACAGTCCGTCTAATAATAACCAAAAGTGCTGACTAACTAGTGGACGGCGCGTTGTGAATCAGCTGTGTTTTGATGGTCAGAAATGCTGTCTAAATAGGCAGCTCACTGGATTTTGAGACAGAACGTCAAAAAGACATGAAAACGTGCTTTTCTCTTACCGCCACAGTCAAGAGTTACTGTGAAACGCTGATTCTGTCTATCGTGTATCACATTGTTCGAGAAGTTTGTAGATCCACAACATTTGCTGAGCCGCTGACTGTTGTTATATCCTTGACTGAACCGAAAGATACAGTTTTGAGACAGTATGTATCACGCCATGATGTGACGTCACCAAACAGAGCTGTACAGTAACAGCAGAGAACGCTGTAATGGTATTACAGTTTTTCTCAGTCGCTTTGGTGCATTTCTCAGATCAGAAATGAAATTCTCAAAGCTACTTGTTCAACCTCCACATCATCTAGTCACTTGTGCACATCATAAAAGCAGTTTCTCATTCTTTTGAACAAGTTGCCATTGCTTTGGTACATTTATGCAAATGATTATGTATATTTGTCTGCAGTGTCCTACATTATCAGGTGCTAATGTCATGTTGCTCAAAATATATTATATAGTTCTCTGTGCAATAGTCGTCATTAGTTCATCGTATAAGCAATTAAATCCAAAATGGTTGACCTTGACCTCATAAACTGTCAAAGCATATTTTCTTCACATTTCTATTAGATTTTTGTAAATTTGCTATGAATTGTGGAGGTAAATCTGGACTTTCACTAATGAAGAAAATGTAGATCAACCAATTATAAACCAGTTCTCTGAAATAGCTCAAAGGTGCATCTCATGAACCTTCAACTGGAAAGCATATAGCAGAGGACAACACAAGAGTTACAAATTCTGACAATGGATGAACATCTAGGAAATGATCAGGGTCAACAGCTGAGAGGATGAATAGGAGTAAGGATGCATGGTGGAAGGGTACAGAGGCAAAACAGAGGAAGAGGCAGAAGAGACAACGGACATATTGGCCAAGGCACGTAGATGAAATAAGGGCCACTATTGTGGACCGTGTTGTCAATCATGGCTTACAATGGCTGAGGTGGGTTTACAGTGTTTGCCTTTCTAATTTTGTATTTTTGCCTTTGTGCCCATATTTCCTTTTCTTTTCACATTACAATGACGTTGTACTGTGAATCCTATCCAGTCTCTTTCAATCAATACCCCACATACAGTAGTGTGTAAATTTGTACTTTTGAAATGGATATATGGCATACAGAAGAAGTGCAGCCTTCTGCATTTTAATACAGTAACTGTCATCCAAACTGTTGCCATAGTTTACATACTAACAGAGTGCACTGTTATATTGGCAACATGACTAAGCATTTTGACTATCTTGTTTGTGAACAATGACACAAGGACTTTTCATTCTGATGGCACTGATATGTTCATTGACATAAATACTTACTTTTGAGAGATGAACTGAAGATTTTGAGTAAGTTTCAGGCTTTTGCATGTGTGGTGCTGTTTGTACGAATTGTTTTGAGAAATGCACATACTTCTTTGCCAATATTAAGGATGATTCGAGAAATGCACCAAAGCGACTGAGAAAAACGGTAATCCTCTCTCACATCTGACCACCACCACTCACATGATCCTATTTAAATATTACATTTGAACTTTAAATACACAATTAACTAGATTAGCGGATGTCGTGAAGAAAAACTTTATGTTGGCTTATCTGTAAGTTTAAAAAGATAGATAGATAGATAGATAGATAGATAGATAGATAGATAGATAGAAAGAAAGATGATAGATAGAAACCATCAGATAGATAGATAGATAGATAGATAGATATTGGTTGATTGATTTCAGATTTATTTCTTTGTTTTTTCCAAGACTCACAAAGTCACAGCAAATCCACAGTCATACTGACTTGAAAGTTTTCTTCTAATTTAAGAACTACAGCACAGTGGCACATTTTTAATAGTATACAGCTCTAGTAAAAACCAATGTCCTTCAATCATCAGGCATCTCCACAGCTGCAGTGTTTCTGACTCCTTTTGCCATGATGGCGAAGAACAAGTTGGGAAAGAGAGATCTGACATAGAGAGCTGCTTTAGAGATGGAGTGGGCCATCAAGATCTCCTTCTTCTTACTGTTCAGAGTCTTCAGGAGCTCAGTTGCCATCTCTTTAGGGGTCACACCAAGGGAGTTGGGTTTGACGTCTGCAGCCAGTGTCCAAACAGAAAGTCCAAGGCAATTTAGTGGACAAACAAGCAAGATGTTATGAGCTACAAACCATGTTCTTTGCTGTCTTTGCATTATGAACTGTCAATGTAGTTCACTCACCTGTCCACACGGATTTTGCTGTGATTTCATCCTCTGAGTTTGTGCTGGGAGTCTTTATGAAGGTGTGGTTGACAGTGCTGACAGTTATTCCATATTCCTGAACCTCAGCCCGCAGACAGTCAAAGAAAGCCTGAACGGCATGCTTGGAGGCAGCATCTAAACAATGCAGAACATCTTACACTGACAAAGATATATAAATTCAAGACATCTTCATATATTTATAACTGTTGATTAGTGTTATGAACATTTAAGTTTATATTCAGTAACATCCAGGTAAACTAGACACAAAAACTCACAGGTGGCGCGGAAGGGCATCGTCAGTTTTCCCTGAATGCTGTTGACTAGAAGAATGTGACCTGTTCTTCTGCAGATCAGTGACGAGAGAACACCTGTGACGGTAAATATCTAGTTCAGTCATGAAACTCCAGATGAAACAGGCTGATATGTTTTTTACAAGCAATCTGCTAGAATTTACGACATGGCACAAGCTGATTGGGCCCCTGTTGTATCTTCAGCCAGTGAGATACTCAACATTTTAATAGTCTAGTTTAATGTTCGCTGTGAGCTGGTCCTTCTGAAACCCTCCACCTCCCCCAGCTCCACCTGTTTTCATCTGCTACAGGATTTATGTATGACTATTCATGAACATGTCTTACATGCTCACAGCAGCGTGTCTGTATATCTATTGGAAGTATCAAGTCCATACTTTCTCTGCAGCATCAGCGTAGCAAATTCATTCGCCAAAACATAAATACATTAACGTTGTCATATCCATTATCATGCTAAAACTATTCAGAGATTTGCCATTATTGAAATGCACTTAATTAAAAACGCTTCAACACAACTCAGAGTAACTGTTGTTTTACCCTTAACCAGCGTGATCGGCCCAAAGTAGTTCACATCCATGACGATCCTGTCCATCTCGAGGGACAGACACTGTACAGGAGCCTTCACCTTCATACTGCTATTGAAGATGAGAACATCCAGACAGCCGTAACACTCCAGGATCTCAGAAATCACATCAGGAACGCTCTCCATGTTACTGAAGTCCAGCTCCACTAGTTTGGGCGGAAATGTCTAAGCAGTAAAGTTAGAACTGAACCAAGTCACGCTGAACTACAGTCTTAAAAAACACATTGCTAAATGTTTCAGACAATCGTCATTCAGTTACTGGTGATTCTGCACTCACAAGTGCTGGATCTGATTCAGTCATCAGCCTCTCAGCTAGAGTCTCCAACTTTTCCCAGTTACTTCCGCAAAGGATCAGTCTGGCTCCTCCAGTATGGAAGAGTTGTGCACATTCTACGATGATCACAATGTAAACAACCGAGTTTAAACAACAAATATGCAATTCATCTGCAAACATGGCTCATCACAGTCTCACAAGAGCATTTATTTTAGATTAGGCCAGTCTGTCATTCCTATCCTGCAATACATTTTCATGTCCTTACAATATATGTCTCAATATATTAAACCTACAGTTTTTAATCTTGCCAACCCTTACCAAAAAGTAGTATACGTCAAGTTTATTTTATTAAGTATACTTAAGTAAAGTTCAAGTATATTTTTAAGTATACTTTATGTAGTAAGTATACAAATATCAGTGTACTAGTAGTATACTTGTAAATGTACTATTTCAATACTCCTTGGGACTAATGGTGCTTTTCCACTGCATGGTACGGCTCGGTACGGTTCACTTTTTGGGGGGTTTTCCACTGGGTACAGTACCTGGTACCTGGTACTTTTTTAGTACCACCTCGGTTGGAGTTCCAACTGAACCGTACCGTTACCAAAACGTGACGTGACGTGAATAACCCCGCCCACTCTAAAGCGGTACTGAACTGCAGTGGAAACGCAAATCGTGCCGAGCCGAACCGTGCCGTGCTGTACCACGCAGTGGAAAAGCGCCATAAATTGGCCCACTTTCTAGTATATAAAAGTATACTTTTAAGTATAAGAGTAGTAAACTTTGAGTACACAGCTAGTTTACATCTATGTTTTTAGTTTGTACTGCAACTATACTAAAAGTGAACTAATAGGTACACTGATAG